CTGTCCCTCAGCTCTTCAGCTCAAGGCTAGCGCTCTACCACTTGAGCCACAGCGCCACTTCCGGCTTTTTTCTTTTTGCTTATGTGGTGCTGAAGAATCGAACCCAGGGCCTCATACATGCAAGACAAGTGCTCTACCACTGAGCCACCTTCCCAGTCCTACAGAAACTTTAAGGAAATAGAAGCTAAGGTGCTCAAACCCAGCAATGACTACATGGTATTTGCTTCTCTCTCCAGGCCGGGTCCAAGTCAGAGTTACTCTAACCATTTCAGAGAGAATTCAAAAGACTTCCCGATCGTTCCAAACGTTTGGCTAGTGTGTAAGCAACTGTCCATTATTTTCTCTCTGCTTCGCATAGGTCCCTCACGCTACCTGATATGGGCATCAAACAGCCACATAACAAATGTGGGAGAGGAAAAATAAGTTATTAACATCACCTTGAATAAAGGGATTTGAGAAACCACCTCTTGTGAATCATACATAAATAAAAACCAGCCGTGACCCATGGGGACCACCAAGCCAGGGAAAACAAAACCACACATCCCTGGCAGGCGTGGGGGTGCGGGGCGAGGTCACCGGCCTGGCCTCTCCATCTTCCCCTGGAGGCGGGGCTGCAATGCGGGCGGTGAGGCTGGGAGGGGGCGAGGCTCACGGACAGGGGAGCTGCTGCGGCCTGCTGGGGTTTACGAAGGCCATCATATATACGTATTTAAAGCGAAGCCGGCCGATCTCACGGAGAAGGGGCGACAACGTCCTCTACGCGCGAAGCTCCCTCCTCCAACGACATCCGGGGATCCTCCCCGCGCCCCGCACTAGGGGGCCTTCAGCACCATCCCGGCATCCTTCGCGCCCAGCACTCCTAGGCCAGTTCCCGCGACACACGTGGGCCGCGTCGGCCACCGTCGGCCTGCAGTTGCTATGGGAACCCGGCTGCCGTAAGCTATGTCGTTACCCCAGGCTCCTCCGTCTCGTGTGTTCGTGCAGCTGGTTCCGTGGGTTGACCGGGGCCAGGAACACAATGAGGTCTCCGGGGGAGAAGTGCTGCGCGGTGTCCGGCAGCCGGTCTCCACACAGGTCCCAGCCGGGACCCGGGAGGTACACGTCAGCGGCACCGCCGAGGTGTCCGCGGGCCCCAACCGGGCGCAGGTGACGGTGCGCATGCGCAGTACCAAAGAGGCTGCCGCCGAGGCCAAGAAGAGCGTGGGGCGCCGCCTGGACTATATCACGCAGAGCCTGCGGCGGCAGGGGCTGCAGGTGAGGGGCGCGCGGGGGTGGAGTGGAGATCGCGGGGGGCGGGGCTGCAGGTGAGGGGTGCGGGGGGGGGACCCCGGAGAGGTGGGGGCTGGGCGGGGCTGCAGGTGAGGGGTGCGGGGGGGGACCCCGGAGAGGTGGGGGGCTGGGCGGGCTGCAGGTGAGGGGCGCCCTGAGGGGGGGAGCCTGCCTGCCCACCTGCCTGGAAAGGCCAGGTCACATGACTTAAACACATCTGACAACTCCAGACTGACTGGAAAGCCTTAACTGGTTTGCAGTAGTAGTGTGTAGTAGCAAGAATTTAATTTTTTTTCCTCGAAATTTCTTTTGATTTTTTTTCAAACATGTATTTCACGTTGGCTGTGAACTATCTAAATCCGGGAATGAGGTAGGCTTTTTGTGTAACCTTACTGTGTTTTCGAGTAATTGCATTCAGTAGCCAAACGTATCCTACTAATACTCTTGTACCCTCCTTCTGTTTCAGGCAGAAAATATAGCCGTCACAAGGGATTTTAGAAGAGTGGAAAATGCATATCACATGGAAGCAGAGGTATGCTATGCACAAATTACTGGAAGTAGTGTGACTCTGGGGACAACTTGCTGTTTGTTTTCATCTAGAGCTGCAATCTACCAGAGAAATGCTTCTCCTGAGAGTGATAAAAGATTATTTTGCTCAAAATCATTTGAATGGTTCATCTGCTTCATTTGAAGATCCTCTGGTGATCTTTTCAAATAAATTTAATGAGATTTATTTCAGAGGAGTTGTTTATATGGAATAAAAGTAGCAAAAGAGAAAGAGCAATTAAATGCCACCTGAATAAACTTCTAAAAATATTATGGCCTAATGAACATGAAGCACTACAGGAGAGAAGTTTCTTTTAGATGAAAAGTAAATGGAAAATGCCTTTGCTGTTATTGCCTGTAGTTTTAGCTGTGGTTTTGAGGGATGGGGGTTTGAAGGCTAGCTTCAGGCAGAAGGTTTGTAAGATGCCCTTCTCAACAGAAAGCTGGACATAGTAGTGGGTTCTTGTTATTCTAGCTAATGGAAAGCCTAACCTAAGTGAAACTGGATGAGGTCTGTGCTAGCCAGGAAGTGGTTCAAAAATAAGGAACTCATCAGTAAAAGCAGCTGCTTAGGAAAAACAAGTACAAAGCCCTGAGTTCAAACCTCACTACTGCCCCAAAAAACAGCAGTTGGGTGTGGGTATATGAAGATGTCACGGTAAAATCCAAAACAACAAACAACAATAAATAAAGCCATAAAAGATTGTAAAACTCTTAACATACTTTTTTTTCCACAATGTAGTATTACTATGTTAAGTGTAATTAAAAATGAAAAAACACTTCAAAAGCAAGAAAATATTTTCATTGCACTTGAAAAATTATACTATTTCTATCAGATGACCCCCTGTACTTTTACCTTTAAAGATTTGCTGATCAAGACTTTTTGAAATCCAAGTATGCTCTAGTTGTGGTTGGTTCCAAGAAGACTGCTTTGACTCCCAGCATTTTGTGTGTGTATTTAGAACATGACCTTATCCTAAGAAACAAGAGTGAGATTTGCTTATCCAGTGAGTGAATGCAACATCTGTTGAGGTAACTAACCTCAAGCCATCTGCAGACAGAGAATACATTACTTTTTTAAAAATTTTAATACTAGGTTTAGATAAGTTGGACCTAGTCAATTAGAATGAAAATTAGAACGCTAACTTATTTTCACTTGAGATAATTATTTCAACAGTTCTGTTTATTGCCCCAGTGATTCCTGTAACAGTTTTGTTGTTTTTCAATTAAAATTTATTCAAGAAAATTTAAAACTATTTAAGGATCCATTTGGCAACAATTACTTGGTAGTGATAGGGACCAAAAAGTACCATTCAAACCAGGATGAAGATTAGTCAGGTAGGATTCCAGACTGTAGAGGTTTAAGATAGGGAGTCTTTAATATTACCCATCAGTACTTGTTAGTGTCAGGACCTCAGGTTTTAATGAGCATAGATAGGAAAAGGTTATCCTAGTTAAGAGGTTTATTATGAGGTTACACCAGGGAATAAGCAGGAGAGTGAAATAGACCTGAGACTGGACAGCCAAACTTCCCCAAAGTAGAAAGTTGTATGACCACAAAGTTGTTTTTGAGGCTGGACTTTTAGATAGAGAGCTGCTTGATTTAAGACAAGGCTGAGCTGAGCACATGACCAGCCTAGACTGTTCTTCCTTCTGCTTTGTTTTTTGTATTCTAATTTCTTCATATATATATATATATATATAATATTTCAGACCTGAAACTTTGAAATTACTGCAAGAGAGTATAGGAAAAACATTAAAACTTACAGGTATAGGTAGAAAAGACTGTTGAAAAGAGTTCTAGGGCACAACAGATAGGTGAGAGACTTGACGAACAGGACTACATCAAAATAAAAAGTTTCTGCACAGCAAATAGTTACTAAACTAGAAAGAGAGACAACAGGCTTGGAGAAGATCTTTACCAGCAATACATCAAACAAAGGTCTAATACTCAAAATATACAAGGAGCTCAAGAAATGAACCTCTCCCAAAATTAATAAACCAATCACTAAATGGGCAAAGGAGTTAAGGAGAGACTTCTCAGAGGAAGTAAGAATGACAGAGAAACATATGAGGAAATGTTCATCATCCCTGGCCATAAAGGAAATGTCAATCAAAACAACTCTGAGATTCCATCTCACCCCAGTTTGATTAACCAACATTGTGAATTCGAGCCACAAGAAATGTTGGCTGCGATGTGGGGAGAAAGGGAACCCTACTGCACTATTGGTGGGAATGTAAGCTAGTACAAACATTCTGGACAGCATTTTGGAGGTTCCTCAAAAAACTAAACATAGATCTTCCCTATGACCCAGCCATACCACCCCTGGGCTTCTACCCAGAACATCATGAGCTAGGATATGATAAAGATACCTGCACATCCACATTCATTGCTGCACTATTCACAATAGCCAAGTAGTGAAAACAGCCCAGGTGCCCCACAATAGATAGTAGATCCAAAAATGTGATATCTATACACAAGGGAATTGAAAGAATGAAACTATGTCATTTACAGGGAAACGGATGGACCTAGAACAAATCATGTTAAATGAGGTAAGCCAAGCTGGAGAGACAGTGGCACATGTTCTCTGATACCTGGAAATTAGATCTAAAATACACTGGAATACGATAAATTATACAGGATTCTAGGTACAGTGAGATAAAAAGAGGATACTCTTAGGAGAAAAACACAAAGGAGCAATGCCTATGTGCCTCTTTATATATCTAGCTGTATCTGTGTATATCTATGCATATATAGAGGGGAGAGGGAGGAACTCCAAGATATGGAAACAAAAAGATCTATTTTTATTTTTTGATGATTCTTTTTTTTTAGTCTTTTAGTTGTGTATGGTGTATTCACATGTATGTCTTTGGGAGGGTGAAGAAGAGGGTACAAAACTCCAGGAAAAAGGGTTAAAAAAAATGCAGCAATGGAGCTCACTGGACACTGATGAAAGTGAACTAAGCCACTCATGGGTGGAGAGGGGAGCAAGGGACTTGGAGAGGGAACAGGAGACACTGTAGAAAAGCAAATGTATTCATTACTTGACTCATGTAATCTCTCTGTACATCACCTTCATAATAACAATGAAGTAAATAATAAAAACAGAAAAACATATATCATATTTAGTGTGTATGCGGGGTAGGGGTGGGATTGCACTTGGGGCTTGAACTCAGGGCCTGGGCACTGTCCCTGAGCTATTTTGCTCAAGATTAGCACTCTACTGTTAGCACCACAGAGCCACTTCCAGCTTTTTGGTGGTTAATTGGAGATGAAAAACCCTCTAGACTCTCTTGCCTGAGTTGGCTTCAAACTTCAATCTTCAGTTCTCAAACTCCTCAGTAGCTGGGATTACAAATATGAGTCACTGACAAAGATCTTATTATTTTTATAAGGCTATAGGAAGCCAGAACTACCATTATATCACACTGTCCAAGACATGATTACCTTTAGCTCAGTTCTAGTAGTCAGCAGAGGCTAGGTGAGAAGTATCACAAATACAGTAGGCTGGCCTATGTATAGGAAAATGTGTGGCTGATGTATAGAAAGATGTATGTGGCTTTATGTCTGTGGATAAAGCAAGCACTAAAATTCAATGTTAACACTTGCTATTAGGTATATTAAATGAGATTGAATGGCACATAGAATTTTTCAAAAGCAAAAAAGTAAACCTGACCCCCAAAAATGGCAAAGGGTTTTAGTAGACATTTATCAAAACAAGACACATAAACGGACAGCATTTTTTTCCTTGATTATGCCATTCCAAGGGGAGTAAGATGAGATGGATTTTCAGCGTGGTTTTGATTCATTCCTAGTCAGTCCAACTGGGTTTTATAATAAAAGTTGACAAACTTTGTAATACAGTATACATTTGAAAATGCCAAGGATCTAGAAGTACTTTGGAGAGGCATGTTTATTCATAATAGTCAAAAGCTGGGAGCAACTTGAAATGGTTTGCAAACACACTGTGGTTATATCCATATAACAGATTACTACTGAGAACAAAACAAATAGATATGCAAAAGCATGAGTAAATTGCATATACATTATGTCAGATGAAAGAAGTCTCCAAAGAACATATTGCATGCTTCCCTTCATGCGGCTTTCTGGAAAAGACAAGCTATACCAGTGGGGATCTGACAAACGGCTGCCAGAGTTTGGGAGGTAGGGAGGAACTAATGACTACAGAGTGATGAGAGCAAATTTGGAGCAGGGATGGGACAGGTCCAGATGGTGTTATTGTGATTACAGAGCTTCATGTTATTTATCAAAAGTAATAGAAATGTGTACTGAAAATGTAGAATACATATAGTATATGGAAAGCCAAAAAATAGTGTCATTTTTGGAACTAGATAATAGATGCCAAAGGGTTCTTTATCCTATTCTACTTTTGTGAATGTTTGAAATTTTCCATTTTAAGAAGCTAAAATAAATAAACTTAGAGTAAAAGATGTCCACAAGAAGCATAGAAATCTAAATCTGCATGCCCAGGATTAAAGGGTACAGAGGGAGGAACTACAGACTACGGAAAATGGATAAAAAACTGGACAAAGGAATTTCATGGAAGCTGTCTTAATGACAAAGGAGCCAGGGTCTAGAAGGTAGAGGGCGGTCAGGAATGAAGTGCTGGCAGTGTAGAGTACCTGAAGCACGAGAAACACAGATAAGTGTTGAAGAAACGAAGAATTGGTAAAACGAGAGCAGAATGGGCTTTTATAAGATGGTCCTTCAGAGGTGATGCTGAAAGAAGATATATTCTGTGGAAGTAGAGACTAGTTCACAAAAGAGAAAATTGCATATGTTGGACTGTTCCGGTCTTGTAATTTAAGGTGCTGAACGGGATGTTTTCACTTGTCTATTTGTTTGAGTTTTGAAATTACGTGGGAAATAAGTCTTCAGAAAGTCTTTGTTTGCCAGAAACCAGTGGATCACGCCTGTAATCCTAGCTACTCAGGAAGCTGAAATCTGAGAGTCCTGGTTTAAGGACAGCCCTGGCAGGAAAGTCCATGAGACTCTTATCTCCTTATAACCACTAAAAAAAGTCCAGAAGTGGAGCTGTGGTTCAAGTGGTAGAGCACTAGCCTTGAGCAAAAAATGCACAGGGACAGTCCTAGGCCATGTGTTCAAGGCCCACGACTGGCACAGAAACACACACACACACACACAGTCTTTATGATGAAAGACAACTGCTCTGCACTATTAGGAGGACGATAGCTGAACATAGGGCTGTCTCCATACGCTCAAAGGGATAAAACAAAATAGATTTGCTTCTGCCAATAGGTTTAAAAATAACATACTTCAGTGGTATTAAAGAAAAATGACAGCTGGGTGCCGGTGGCTCACACCTGTAATCCTAGCTACTCAGGAGGCTGAGATCTGAGGAACGAGGTTCAAAGACAGCCTGGGCAGGAAAGTCTGTGGACTCTTATCTCCAAAAAACCACTAGAAAACCGGAAGTGGCACTGTGGCTCAAGCGGTAGAGCATTCTCCTTGAGCTGAAGAGCTGAGGGACAGCGCCCAAGCCCAGGGTTCAAGCCCAATGACCCACAAAAAAGAAAAAAAAATGACGTAATTACTACCAGTCAGTTAGGAATTTTAATAGCTTAGATTAGACTAAAAAGTAATTTTTTAGAAAGAAGAAGAGATAAAAGTTACTAGGGTTAAGTCCTCCAATGTGGAAAAAAATGGTAAGTTTTAAAATGTTATGAAATGAAATTTTAAATGTCACATCAATTTGATTAGATGCCCAAAGTTACATTTCCCATTGCCCCTGGCTGGCTGTCACCTGTCACTCCCCACTTACGGGCTGCAGACTGAAATGTTTTAGGGAATGGGAAGTTGAGGTCCATCTTTGGTTTCTTCCCTCTGGTGTGGGGCATAAAGTCTGGGGTCTGAGTCTCTTTGTCCTTGTTCTCTGTTCATGGAGATAGCTAGAAGACCTGGGATTGCAGGTCATTGGTGACCCAGGGGTACCCTGTAGAGGGGGTTCAACCTTTGGAGAACAGAATCACTAGATGTTTAAGGAACAGCATGCAAGGTTGGTGCCAGAAAGACAACAGCCATAAACACAGGAGCAGACTAAGAGCCCCACAGAGGATTATAAATGGAACAGTATGCAACACTATTGTCCTTTGCTGTGTGATCCCGAGAACCAGGAGGACAGGATATTTCCCAAGTTTGTAGCAGAGTCAGACACGGCATTAATCTGGGCCCAGCTCTCCTAGCTGAATTGTCTGAAATGTAAACAGCGCACTAAATCCTAACTAGAACATATGTCCCCTTGTGTTGCCATAGGATATTCAGTCCTGTGTTGATGCATTCATTGTCTGCTGCCTCCTCTCTGTTTTGGAGGTTAGTGGAGTTGTCCTTAAGATGTGTCACTTGTAGTGTCATAATCCAGAGACCAGTGAAAACAAAGTTGGCTAAAACGTGAGCAATTAAGGTTCAGGAAGGAGCAGGAGCATTCTAGGCTTCTCCTGTAGCTATTGAAGTAGAGGGGAAAGAAAGGCAGGTACAGGTTCTTGTCCGGTGGGAGGTGGATAGCTATGGGAGACAGATGCCCATGGTTATTACTACTCAACCTCTCATCTTGAGTAACTTTTCAGAGGGTGAGCTCAAGTGACTCCATTTGTATTCTGCAGCCATCCCCCATTGTCTGAGCCTGGGGGTGGGATAAGCTATTTCCTGAAGGCCTTTTGTTATTGCCAGGATGAGCTATCTGGCTTGGTCTGGTTGCACATTGGAGGCTTGTGTGTGGGATTGACATTCAGGGAGGAGTCTGTACCAGTAAGCCTCTTTGGGGCCAAAGTTAAGCAACAAAGAGGCGAGAAGTAGTATCTGAAGCAGCATGTGCCTAGAATGCAGGTATAGAAAGTTCACAGTAAATACTTGAGGAGCTATCCCCTATAGCCTCCCAAGAGGACTGAGTCTGCAAGGACAAATGACCTGAAGAGCCATGGATCAAAATCGTCAATAGCAGTCAGCAGAACAGCCCGGTCATGTTCACTGCTGGCAGCATTTCAGGATCCTGATTATCATTGAGGATATTATTAGCATCTTCCAGCTTTCCTTGTTACAGGTATGTACACACACTGTAGAGGGCTGCGATCATTTACGTACTTGGTAAATAAAGCATCTTGCTTAGGCTTTGTGCTCGAGAACACCTGTACACCTGGTGGACAGAAATACATGAGTATCAAACAGATTGTTCTTACCTGTTACGTACCACAAAAAGACTGTAATTTGGCTTGACTTTTGTTACCTTCAGAGGAAATTTCAAAACAATGCATCAGACATAAAAATAATACCAAGGTCCTTTCACTTACAGGTCTGTATTACATTTACTGAATTTGAAAAAATGCAAAATATTTGTAGCTTCCTCGTTGAGAAGTTGGACAGCTCTGTTGTGATTGAGCCACCCCAGTTCTATCACGCACCTGGTGCTGCCGAGAACCTGCGGTAAGTGCAGCAGCTGAGCAACTGAGCCAGAACTGCTCCGTGCCCCTCCTCATGACTGCCATACTAATGACCTCTGCTTTCATCCCAAGACGGCAAGCCTGTCTTGTTGCTGTGGAGAATGCGTGGCGCAAAGCTCAAGAAGTCTGTCATCTCGTTGGCCAGACCCTGGGGAAACCTTTACTGATCAAAGAAGAAGAAACAAAAGAATGGGAAGGACAAATAGAGGAGCATCCATCATCTGGACCCTTAAGTTCACTAACTGTACAACAGAAAATAAAAAGTGCAACACTATATGCTGCCTCCAAAGTCTTCGTAACCTTTGAGGTAAAGGGGAAAGAGAAGAAAAAGAAGCATCTCCGAAATTAAAATACTATATAACTTTTATCTATTTTTATACTTTTTATAATATTTCTTTTTGTTACAAGCATGTGTATCGTATAGTAAATTTGTTTCTCTGAAAAAAATGTCACTTCTTAAATATAGTCCCACAGAATACACTTTCTGTTCTACATACCTTACTCTAAGACATTCTTAGGAAATGAAGATTTAGTGCGTGCGTGCGTGCGTGCGTGCGTGCGTGTGTGTGTGTGTGTGTGTGTGTCCTGGGGTGTGAACTAAGGACAAGGCTAGCACCACCCCTTGAGCCACAGCTCCATTTCTGGCTTTTTGGTGGTTAATTGAAGGTCAGAATCTAATGGACTTTTCTGCCCTGGCTGGCTTTGAATGAGGATCCTCATATCTCAGCCTCCTGAGTAGTTAGGTTACACATGTGCAATATCACTAGATGTGTAGTATTTTCACTGGAGAGAGAAATATTTTATTTAGTAGTTCTTATAGGTACTTAACATTTTCAAAGTCTTAATTTTATGTGAAACTAAGTTTTCTATGAAAACTAAGCTTTACAAATTTATGTTTTTTAATTGGTAAGATAAGATTTTTTACGTTAAGAAGAGGAATTCTTTATCCTTTATTTGTATTGTAAAGGTGTTATATAGAGAGGTGACAGTTACATAAGTCAGGTAATGAGTACATTTCTTTTTGAACAGTGCCACTTCTTTCCTATTTTCTCCCAGATTTTTCCCTCCCAACCCCTTCCAACATAGTGTCTACTGAATATCACTGCTGAATTAGTTCACCCTTGGTCCCATCATTTCTGTTTTCCCTTTCCCTCCCTAGAACAGATAAACTTACATACAAGACAAAAGATACAGAAATCAAAAACGGCAACAAAAGGGGAAAACAAAGAAAACCATAAAAAGTAAAATATAAAACCTCTTCCATTTCTTGCAGTTCATTTTGATAAGCATCATTTTATATGATCATATATGTGCATAGCTACTGAGCCTTTGTCATCCTCTCCTAAGAATATCCTCCAGTCTCACTGTGTGAATGTTTAGAGTCCTGTTTAATTTATCAAGTCCAAATGTACTTTGTCTTTTTTGTTTACTTATAGATTTATAGGCACATTCTAATTTCTAAAAACGAGGGAAACCATACAACCTAGGTTTCTTTGGGTCTTGCTTACTTGGCTTAATTTTTTTCTGTCTTTCTATTTCCTTGTGAATGGGGCAATATCATTCTTTCTGATGGAAGCATAGAATTCCACATTTTCTTGATCCATTTGTCCACTGAGGGGCATCTGGGCTGATTCTATATATTGGCTATGGTAAACAATGTTGCAGTGAACATGGTTGTGCTGGTATTTTTGGTGTGGCTTGGTTTGTGGTCTATTGGATAAATGCCCAGGAGTGGAATTGCTAGGTCATAGAGAAGCTCTATGTGTAGTATTTTGTTCAACCTCTGCTTTCCAGAGAGGTTGAACATTCCCGTAAGCAGTGTAGTAGCGTTCCCTTTTGCCCCATTCCTGCCAGCATCTGTTATTGTTAGTTTTCTTGATAATGTCCATTCTAACTGGGGTGAAGTGGAATCTCCGTGTTGTTTTGATTTGCATTTCTTTTATGGCTAAAGATGTTGAACACTTCATGTGTCCATTCGCCATTCTTTCTTCTGAGAAGTGTTTATTTAGGTCCTTAGCCCATTTACTAATTAGGTTGCTGTTTCTTTGAGGATTTGTTCTGGGGAGAATTCTTTTTTTATTTTTTTTTAATTTTTTTTAATTTTTTTTAAATTTATTTATTTTTTATTTGTGAACATACTGTACAGAGGGGTTACAATTACATGGGCAGGATAATGCGTACATTTCTTACCAAGC